GTGTGTGTGTGTGTGTGTGTGTGTGTGTGTGTGTGTGTGTGTGTGTGTGTGTCCAGGGAGGAAAGAATAGAGTACTTGCCTAACATGTAAAATACCCAGGGTTTGATTTCCCAGCACTGTGAAAAAGAAAAATAAATTGGCAAATGAAAGTTTGGAGGAAAAACCAATCTAATTTTTAGTTTTTTTCTTTATTAGCTCTCATTCCAAATTGGAAAGGAGGTATTTATTTGATAAGATTGTTCATGCTTATTTTGGACACTACCTTTATGAAGATGAGTGAAGGTGGCTTGAAAGATGGCTCAGTGATTAAGAGCACTTGTGCTGCTTTTGTAGGCAACTGGATTCGATTCCCAGCACCCATATGGTGGTTTACAACCACCCATAATTCCAGTTCCAGGGTCTCTAACACCCTTTTCTATCCTCCATAGGCACCAAGCATGCTTATGGTATACATACATACAGTCAGGTAAAACTCTCAGATACAAAATTAATCTTTTAAAAATGTGAAATAGGCTAGCAGTGGTGGCACACATTTAATTCCAGCACTTAGGAGGCAGAGGCAAGCAGATCTCTGTAAGTTAGAGGCCAGCCTGGTCTACAAAGCTAGTTCAGGGCAGCCAAGGCTACAAAACAAACAAACAAACAAACAAACAAGAAAGAAAGAAAGAAAGAAAGAGAAAGAAAGAAAGAAAAAGAGAGAGAGAGAGAAAGAAAGAAAGCAATCAAGCAGTGGAGAGAAGAAAGGAAATGGGTAGGGAAGCTGAGAGTGTGCACTTGGACTGGCAAGACACCTCAAAAAAGAAAAAAAGGTTGGGTTTTTAAAAAGAAGGATCCTGTAAAAACTTGTGAAGTTTACCTCTATACTGATGTCAGCTTCTTTTAGTTATATTTGTTGTCTTGGTTTATAAATATTTATTACCTTTACACATAATTATATTTAAAATTAAAACTATAGATCTGTTTCTTACTTACATGGATACCAGATGTTGGTAATTTAAAGTACTCATGCATACATTAGAGAAGACAAGGAAGTTATTGGACAACAATGTAGCTGAAATAATATGTAGGGTTATATAAAATGCAGGCATATTCTAATTGAGTACATTCCTATCTGAGAGGTGTTTTTATTGTCCATTTCTTTAGTGGGAGCTGGTGAAGTGGCCAACTTTGCTGCATATGCATTTGCTCCGGCCACTCTAGTGACCCCACTAGGCGCACTCAGTGTCCTCGTAAGGTAAGACTCTGCATTTCACCTAAAAATGGTATTTTAGTTTATAAATTACTAAAGTGCTGATTATATGTCAAAACACTTGCATAACCTTGAGGACTTTTTAATACTTTGCAGTAATGTTTTTTCAGAGTTGCATTCTTTGCAGTTATTGATTTGTGGGACAAAATCACTTTATACTTCTGCTTGTATTTAGGACCAGCATGTTAGTGATTTCAATTTTAGAAAATTCCAAGTTGCAGGCTGTAGAAATGGCTCAGAGGTTAAGAGCACCAGCTCTTCTTCCAAAGGTCCTGAGTTCAATTCCCGGCAAACACATGGTGGCTCACAACCATCTGTAATGAGATCTAATCAGGCAGAATATGTATAAATAATAAATAAATAAATCTTAAAAAAAAATTCCAAGTTGCAACTTGCCCAACATTTACCATTCAGTATGCACATACTGTGGTTAGTAGGCTTCATTAACTATTATAAAACATCAGGTCTCGGTTTGGGTGGTGCTGCATGCCTCTAAAGACTGGCCTGAGGTACTTGTTTTGCAAGACCAACTTAAAACTTGTCCTGTTTTGTTATTGTAATGATTAGTCCAAAATAGCTAAGCCTATTTGAAGTCTGGATTTTTATTACTATTTTGAAAGTTGAGAACTTTTAATGACCTTTCTAGTAAATTATATATAAAATGTGATTAGGCTAGAGAGATGGCTTAAAGGTTAAGAGCACTGGCTGTTCTTCCAGAGGACCTGAGTTCAATTCTCAGCACCTACATTGCAGTTCACAACTGTCTGTAACTCCAGTTCTAAAGGATCTGGCACCCTCACACAGACATGCAGGCAGAACACCAATTCACATAAAAATAAATAAATCTTTTAAAAAATTCTTTCTTTAAAAAAGTATGGTTACTTTTTTTTAATCCTTAACTTTTCTTGTATTACACTATGATCTTCTTTGTTTATTTTGTACTTTTTAGGATTGGGTTAAAAACCCTAAGACCTAAGATATAAAAACTTGTAGTTTATAGGTAAATTAAAAATTAGATGGTCCCAGTGCATAGTTTATTGACTGTATTTCCAAGTAACTTAAAATGATTGTAGGCAAATCATACACACGTAAATCAAAATAGAGGGGCTAGCAAGATGGATCAGCAGGTAAAAACACTTGCTGCCAAGCTTAATGATGAGTTCAATCCCCAGGATTTACATTGTGGAAAGAAGAGAACCTACTTGTGCAAGTTGTGTTCTAATCTTCACAAAGATAAGCAGAAGAGAGACAGATGGGGTGAAGGGGTCTAAATGAAATTTTAAGAAGGCTAATGTTAGTACAATAAAGTTTGTAAACTTGAAGCATTGGTTTAGATAGGTATTTTATTAAGACCTAAATTTTATAAATTAAAGTTCTTTATATTACCTGTTTCATATAGAGTCTTAATAGTAAAAGGATGGTAAATGCAGTTTCAGTGCATGTAAAGCAGGTGGTTCATTTTGCTTCAGGAGATTTAGGACAAAAGTCTGATAGGCGTAGACTAGATTCTGTGGTTCATACCAAAATGACAGTCTTAAGAGAAAAGCAGTAGAGAAGGCAAGACAGGAACTTTAATCAATATGCTTGAAAGGCAAGGGGCCAGTGTCTTCTGGGGTTACTGATGTGAACTCCCAGGAAGCCAGAGTATTCACAGCCAAGCCATCTCAGTCGGTCTCTGATCAGGCTGATTGATTAGAAGCGTACTTGCTTCTGTGGATTGTTTGGAAGATTGTTCACACCTAACCATGTTTATTGATCAGATTTGATCCTTCAGTCTAAGGTGATTGATTACAAGTTGTATTCACTGAGCAAAAGAGACAGGCGTAAAATGGAAGCAGAGGTCACATTGCATCATAACAATTGGATGCTCACAAGTTCAGGTGAAGAGTCAGTGCATGGTAGCAAAATAACCCCTAAGTCCTTGTTACAGTCTTACTTTTGAATGTACATTTTCTTTGTTAAAACAAGAAGTATTTTTGTGTGAGCTCACAAGTCTTTAATTTTAAAAGTTTGAATAACAATTTAAATGTTCAATTTATTATTCTTCCTTTTAGTGCCATTCTGTCTTCATATTTCCTAAATGAAAGACTTAATCTTCATGGGAAAATTGGGTGTTTGCTAAGTATTCTAGGGTCTACAGTTATGGTCATTCATGCTCCAAAGGAAGAGGAGATTGAGACCTTAAATGAAATGTCACATAAGTTAGGTGACCCAGGTAAGAAAGGCTTCATTAGTGTTACTGTACTTAATATTTTAACTTAATTTTTATTTTAATATATATATTTTTTGTGTACATATATGAATTATTTTGCACAGGTTATAAGAAATAGTTCTTTCTCATGTGTCCCTAGCCTCTTGTCTTTTTTGTTAATTATGTTTTAAATGTCCAAATAATATGCTTATATATATTACTGTTTCCTTGACTGTAGTCATTATCTGGTACCTATTATATTATACTTAAATAGATTTAGTTCATTTCTTCATGTTGCCCTTACAATAAAAATTTTATTCTTAAACATTATGATTACTTCTTTTTTTGCTCCCCCCCCCCCCTCCAAGACAGAGTTTGTCTGTGTAGTCTTGGCTATCCTAGACTCACTTTGTAAACCAGACTGGCTTCACACTCACAGAGACCCGCCTGCCTCTGCTTCCCAACATGCTGGTATTAAAGGTGTGCACTACCACTCTTGGCTTTTCCCTCTTCTTTTATTTCCACAAAATTTCACTTTATAGCCCAGGCTGGTGCCTAGTGTCTCAAGTGCTAGGATTTTAGCTGTACATTACTACTCTATCTTGAAATTTGCCTCAATTGATAGTTATCTTACTTGCTTAATTATTCCTCGACCATTATCAGTTCTTCTTAAAACTCTTTTTGGTTGTCTGGTTCTGCTCTAAGTTATCTTGAGGCAGCCTGGATAGACTTTAACCCAGTTGTCTGGTTCCCGCTCACCTTTCTACTGCTCCACAAGGTTGTAGCATGAGTGTTCTCTGCTCCTGAGCCATATTCTGATGCAGTATGTAGAATCCAATCTTTGTTTGCTTGGAGACACACAACTCTGTTCTGCCTGGAACTCTGTACACACTAATATGGCCTCAGACTCAGACACCCACCCACCTCTGTCTTACAGGTGCTAGGATTAATGGCGTGCACCATTCTTTCTTTCCTTGTTTCTGTCTGCTTTAATAGCCAACCTCCATTTGTGGAGTTTGAAGAAGCAGACTGATTTTTTGTAGTCTTGGTATGTTTTCTGGTTTGTTGTTGTTGTTGTTTTTTTTTTTTTTTTTTTTTTTTTTTTTTTGGCACAACCTCTGATAGCCTAGGCCAGCCTTCAACTTTTTATATAGCCAAAAATAATCATGAGTTCCTCCTGCTTCTGCCTCTACTTCCAGAACACTAGGGTTACTGGTATGTGTTCCCATTCTCCTTTCCCCTTTTTCATCTTAAAATTTGTGTATTATCTGCTGTGGAGTACAAATTGTTGGGAACTGTACCCCTGGCCCACATGATTTTACAGTTGTCAGGTAGGATGATTAACCTCTAATCTCTGTAGTCAACCATGACCCCAACAGTATTTTTAGGTTCTCTTAATGACTTGTTATTTATTCTGATACTAGTTCTGTTTTCAGATGTGTCCCTTTGAGGGAAAACAATTCACAACTACAGCTTTTAAATTTCTTTGGTTGTTTGAGACAGGGTTTCACTGTGTGGTCCTGTCTGTGCTGGAACTCACTCTGTAAACCAGACTGGTTTTGAACTCATAGAGATCCGTCCTCTACTACCACCTTGCTATAACTCCTGATTTTTGCAGATGCAAATTGTTGAACATTCAAGGGTACTTCCTTAGTTTACACTGGCATCTGCTTCCCTGGTCTGATTATCATTTTCCTGTCCCTTGTGATTTAGAATACTTAGTAGGTATAAGAGACTACTTTTAAAATGTTGGTGGTGGTGCAAACCTTTATTCCCAACGCATGCAAGGCAGAGGCAGGCAGATCTCTTGAGTGCTAGGCCATCTGGTGAACAGAGTGAGTTCCAGGATAGCCAGAGAAACCCTGTCTCAATAAACCAAATAAAAATGTTAGTGGTGTACGGTTTTGTTTTGTTTTTTAACTATGAAGCATATTTTAATTTCATACTATATAGTTTTAAAGTGTTACTAAGGATTGAACCCAGGGCTTTGCACATTCCAGGGAAGCACTCTGCCCCCAGCCTCCAATGTGTACTTCCGATGTATTTGTTCAGGTGTGATTTTGCTAGAGGAACAAGAGAAAAAAACTAATTTTGTTCTGGGTGACAAGTCACCACCTGAGAGTTACTTTCTTGGAGTCACGGTACCTCTTTGTTGTGAATGAGTTATTTTCAATTAGCAACTTACAAATTTCTTAAAATAATATTTCAAAATTAAGTCATCAAATAGTCCATTTAATAGGCAAATAAATCTAACGATACAGCACTGGAAGATAATAAGAAAGGTATATATGAGTTTGTGTGTGCATTATGTTTCAGTGTAGCTTTTTCTTTGTTTCCTCCAGGTTTCGTGGTTTTTGCGACATTTGTGGTCATTGTTGCCTTGATATTCATCTTTATAGTGGGACCTCGACACGGACAGACGAACATTCTTGTGTATATAACAATCTGCTCTGTGATTGGAGCGTTTTCAGTCTCCTGTGTGAAGGGTTTAGGCATCACCATCAAAGAGTTGTTGGCTGGAAAGCCTGTTCTGCGACACCCCCTTGCCTGGATTCTGCTGCTTAGCCTTGTGGTCTGTGTGAGCACACAGATTAATTACCTAAACCGGGCTCTGGACATCTTCAACACTTCCATTGTGACTCCAATCTATTATGTGTTCTTTACAACTTCAGTTTTGACTTGTTCAGCTATTCTTTTTAAAGAATGGCAAGATATGCCTGTTGATGATGTCATTGGGACTTTGAGTGGCTTCTTCACAATCATTGTGGGGATATTTTTGTTGCATGCCTTTAAAGATGTCAACTTTAGTCTAGCAAGTCTGCCTGTATCTCTTCGAAAAGATGAAAAGGCAGTGAATGGCAATCTCTCTAATATGTATGAAGTTCTTAATAATAATGAAGAAGGCTTACTCTGTGGAATTGAGCATAATGGTGAAAATATCTCCCGTAGAAATGGAAATCTGACATCTTTTTAAGGCTATGATTGAAAAGCTAACCTATAATTCTGTTATAAAGTGATTTAAAATGAGTATCAGAATGTATCTGAAAAAAACTGTCCTCAAATAATGTCCTCTAAAGACAATCTTTTTTAAGTTTCCACTAATTTGGATCAAGAAATTACTTTTCTTATATTTAAACAATGGTAGCTCACTAAAATGACCTCAGTACATGGCTAATTTCTAATAACATTGTATTATTATAAAGGTATTTTTATTCATTTTCCAGAAATCGAAATGCACTAATGACAAATTTAAGCCTATAAAAATGTTTTATTTTTTTCATTGGTGATGAACATTAAAATGTACATTGTAATCCCATCCCATCAATCCCTCCTCATACTAAGGCTTGTTGACTATAAATATGTATGTGTGCGTATGAGATTCCAAGAAGATAATTCTCAGGTGGTGTTTTGTACCCAAACATCTGGTTTCCCACTCAAACTTGATGGCCTCCTTTTTGGAAAACACCACTGTGCTGTAGTCAGTACTTGCTGTGTCCATAGTGACTAGAGCTCTGTGTTATCTAGCGTGAGCTCTTGGACCTTTCCAGTGTATGTTTATAGTGGGTTAGTTGTTACTCAGCCCTTTTAACAACTCTGGGATGTCAAGACAACTTCTGTGGTTTGTTTAGAAACTCATGCTTGAATGAAATGACATTAGAACAAAGTCCTGATTCTGATTCCAAATGCTTAAATTTAAAATGTTTGTAAAATACGGTCTCTGAACCAAGAGGTTTATTTTGCTTAAGAGTTTGAACCTTACACATTTGGTTTTTTAGAAACTGTGAAAAGTGTTTATAAAAAATGCAAATAGGTACAAAAAGCAAGGCCAATGTAAGGAGTACTCTCCAGCTTCAGACCTGCCTACTTCCTAGTTAGGTGTTGGTCTAAAAAAAAAAAAATCACCCTCCATCTGACCAGCAAATGACAGAACTGAGGTTTGGGCCTATACCTATTTCCTGTTCCTTCCTGTGGTTGCATAGTGACTTTGTACTGGTTTTGTGGGGGGAAATTTTTTTTTTTGGGGGGGTAGCTTTATTATCACCACTCTAAAGAGCCCTTGCCTTTTTTTTTTCTCTGACTGCCTCCTTCTGTGTAACTCCTTTTTGGCCACATACTGAGCTACATTTCCAACCTTCTTATGTAACTTAAATGCCAGAGATTATAGGACCTCTCCCATCCCCAGATATATTGTATCTGTTTTATGTACTGTTATCTGTCTTATTTTGCACATAAAAAGCCAACGTTCATTCCCTTGGGGATGAAACGTTTCCTCTTTGAGAATGTGGGTGTTGTACGTACAACACCTTATACATATATAATCTTGTAGGTAAACATTTTATTTGGCCTATCAACTGGTAATACAGTTATTGACTTTTAAAATCTACACTTCATAGGTTCAGTACAGATGTCATTATGACTGACTATTCATATCAATAAAAATATTTTAGGTAACTTTTTGATAAATAGGCTTGTTAAAGATGTAATTCAGGTTTACAGTACAGCAGAATAGTACTTGTGTTTTATTTTCTGTGTAAAATAAAGCTCAAAGCTTTTGGACTTTGTTTCCCAGCCAACTTTGTATATTTGTTTTTAAGACAGGGATTTTGCTATGTTCCTCAAGCTGTCCTTGAACTCTTGGGCTCCAGTAATCTTCATTCTGCAGCTTTTCCCAAATAGATGGGATATCATTTGCACATTACTGTACCTGATTCTCAATTTCCATCTACTTTCATATTGATATGAAAACAGGGTTCTTATTTTTCACTTGAAAGGTCCCACGGACCAACTGGAGTTGGTATTATCTGAGTGAGATAATTCCTACAGCAGTTGAACAGCCCAGGAATGCCAAGGGCTGTTGAAGACAGCACTCAAGTTCTTCCCAGACCCTGTCATTTTTTCCCCCAAATTGTTGTCCTTGCAGAATAGAAGCACATACCAGAGACGTGCTGGTGTCCCTTTCATGTTCTTTATGGACAGCACAGCTGCTGTCTTACATCTTAACTGACTTTCATATCATCCCTGCCCAAACCTGACTGTAGAGTTAAATGTATACTAGTTGTAGTTGAAAGATATCATGAGCTGGGTGTGGTGGTGCATGCCTTTAAACCCAGCACTTGGGAGACAGAAACAGGAGGATCTTTGACAGCCAGGACTTGTTACACAGAGAAACCCTGTCTCAAAAAACAAAAACTCCCAACAACAAAAACCACCCCAAAAGATGTCATGATCTTGCCCTACTTACTGAACTTACTTTGTGAAATGTGAGTATTTAAGGAACTATCCTGCCCATGTCAATGAATGAACAAAAATAGGTTGCATTAATTTTTATTTCTCTAATCTTTTAAGTCCTTTCTTACAAATCAAACTTGTCACTATTAGACTTAGTGGAAACAGGAAACAATTTCACTATCTTGGCATAAAAGGTAACAATGACTTAGAAAAGATTTCCTAAAAGACCATCAAAAATCTCTAAACAGAATAAACTGTAATTTAAAAAAAATCCCTAAACAAAGCTAGTTAAATTTAATTGATAGGAAATTTTCATTTTAATACAGTTAGTTGGTATGATGCTTCTTATGGAATAATGAATGAATTCTCCATTTTATAACTAGCTACTGGAACATTCAACATGAAAATATTTGTTAAGACCATAATGGCAACAACTAGTAACCATTACTTTCAGACTTTGCAATTCCAAAGGCATATACAATTTTAGTATAGAAAAATAAGTTTTATAAAGTTAAGCTTTCAGATCAAAAAGCACCCTCTCAAGTAGGTTCAGACCTAATGGAAAATAGCCCCTAAGATTTAATATAGTTTACGTAAACACAAACATGCCTCATTACTGGATGCTGTGAGCTTGGCCCTTAGCTGCTGGCTAGGGACTGGTGGATGGGCGGCTGGAAGCACCGCACATGTTCCACAGGTGTGCTCTCCCCATCGCCAGATTTCAAGTACTTGTCCAGGATAGTGATGATTTCATCATTGAGAATCTGGAACTTGCGGATCCTCTCCACCATCTTCTTCAGTGGCTACAAGTAGATCAGCCTGTTATTTATTGTGCTTTAAAATGCAAGGATTCTACTTCAGAAAATTTTATTGACCCCTATCATCTTTCTAGTATCACTACTGGAATAATGAATATTTCCAACTTAAATTCACTTTGTGATTTGGAACTGCTAAGTTTAGGCCTGTAAAAATTAAAGATATGTCCATTCAATTATCAGTTGTCTATTGGCCAAGAGTGGTGGCTTATATCAGTTTTCTATTATTCAGGATGAAGCAGGTTTACTGTGAGTTCAAGGCCAGCCTGAGGTACATGGTGAGTTCCAAGTCATGCTGGGTGACCCTTTTCTCCAAAATTCAAAAAGAATTTCATGAGCCAAAAGCCAGAATATTAACATAAACAAAATATTTTTAGTATGCAGAGACTAATAAAATATAAGTTGTATATTTCCAGTTTAACAGTTCTAGGGAGAAGATGCTTTGAATCTTCTCTGTAAGACTGGATACAGATCAGACATAGAACTTGAAAGCATTGCTGGTTCTGCCTGGTAAGAAGAGTAGACTGGAATGAAGAGACAGCCTGGTCTATACCCAGGGTGGTAACAACTGACAGTCAACAACAGCAGTCTTCAACAGAGACATTTAAATGAGGTCAAACAAAATAGAAGCTTGTCACGGAGCACAAGATGCAAGAGTTACACACCTGCGTCCAAGGCCTTCCAATAGAATTAGAATATAAAATAACAAGAGGGGAGCATTCCAATTTAAATATACCTGTCAAGATTTTAAGAACCAAATTGAAACTGAGAAAAAGAAATATGAGTAAAAAGTCCCAGCTAACTTAACCTGAAATGAATTAGTTACCTCCCAAGACACAGAAGAAGGAAAATATTCTGGCTATATTCCAGAGAGCCAATGAACTCGAGGTATGGAGGGTGGCATTACCTATCAGACATGCCCACACTGAATTCCTTTGCACCTATGGATATTCTCTTTAAGGACTTCAAGAGAGCTGGATTGTCTAGGCAGACCCAGTTCAATAATCTAAGCAGAAGAGTTTCCTAAATTGTTAACAGGAAAGATGTGGCAAAACCGGGTGGTCCCTGTTGCTTGAAGGGGCCATGAGGAAAGCATGTGAGGAAATGAACTGACAGCAGGAAATGGATCTGGTTTCTACACTTAAAAGAAACTGAATTCAGCCAGTGACGAAGGACACTGAAAGCACATTCATCCTTTAGGGCCTCAGGGGAAATGCATTCCTTTTAGTGAGACTAGGTAGGGAATCAGCTGAACTATGTAGACACTGAAAAATACTGGTGATAGTTCTGTCAGTAAGCCTATTGTAATTAGTCTGGGAACAACTGAAAACTAATAAATGGAGTAAGTCATGTGGAAAGAGAAAAATGGCCAAGAACATAATGAGTATTTTCTATAATGTAGTTGTGGGGAACTTCCTAAGATGACAAAAAGCATGTCAAGATTTGGAAGCTTGAAGACTAGTATGCCAATCTGAAAATGTAGGTAAGATAAGTAGATCTAATTACCTGGAAAAAGGAAATAGAACAGATTTTAAAAACTTTCTCAGTTGCTTTTTGTACAGATTGCTTTATGTTTAACTTAAATTTTATGTTGGGATAAAAAGAATTCCTCCCCAAAACAAATGTATAAAAGATTTTGTCCACATACCACATTTTTGATAATCTCATCTTTGCCATCATGTTTCTGAACTTTGAGAAGATGGTAGCAGAAATCCAACACTGCAAAACGCCGCTGCTGTCCAAGCAGCACAATGATCATGCAGCCAGCCCAGTGCAGCCCATCTCCAAAACACTGCCTGTAAGCACCAAGCAACAAAGAATGAATAAACAGACAAACTCTGATGAGTCTGTCTACAAAGGTCAGTGATCCAGCTACATCCTTTTGTTCACGGATTCTCAGACATGAGGATAACAGGCACGAGCAATTTGCCAATTTTTGATAATGCCACTTTTGGGTTCCTCTTGCATGGTGTTTTGTAGGTCATAGAGCTATGAAGAATGACTTACGGACCTCCCATCTAGAAACAGCAATGCCCAATTTGCCTTCAGTTGCTCTGGATTCAGATAATAATCCTGAGGCATTTCTTTGGCATCAAAAAAGGAACAACACTTCAGTGGCATTAAACCAGTGCAACATTTGTGCATTTTCTAAAAAAGCTTTGTCATCTGTGCTGCCTTCAATTCTTTGAGGAGCCACCTCTCTGCCAGTTCTCCCACTCTTACAAAGAGTCACAGAACACACACTTACTCCACTGTAAACTCGTGTGTCCCTACAGGGATGCAGTAAACAAACTGCATGGCACTCCATAGTCTGTGAAACTCCACACACTCATCCACATGCATGACCCCATTGCTGGGCAGAGGCCCACGCCAGATGGGATCATCCAGAAAGGTCCGGATCCGTGTCAGGATGACTTCAAACATGGACAGACCACAGCAGAGCCGCTCCTTGGTCAGCAAGTCCCCCTCTCTTGCGATTGCAATTTGCTGCAGGAAGTATATGGAGTCTTTCTTATAAATCATGACAGAGTACTAAAGGGCTAAAACAAACTACCATCAGGTCTACTTATGATGGGCTAGGTAGAAAATGCTAAGCTGGCAGAAGAGGGTTTTGCAAGCATCAACAGATTATTTATCAGCAACTACCCATGTCCTAAAGATTAAAAAAAAAAAAAAAAAGGCAAGAGTGAAGTATGGTTATTCATAACTGCAAGCAATTTGGCCTCCAGGTCATATGGCAATTTCCAAAGATATTTCTAGTGGTCACAAAAAAATCTATCAGCATCTAGTGGGAAGCCAGTAATGCCACTAAACGAAATCCACAGGACAACCTCAAACAAACAAAAGCCCTGCTTCAAAACGGCAATGGTGCCAACAGTTAAGTATGCAAGATCTAGGGTAAATTTCATTCTGATACCTTGCCTTTTGTCATTTCATCTAAGAAACCCTATTTAAAAAGCTTTGTTCAGCCGGCTGGTGTGGTGTACATTATTAATCCCAGCACTTTGGGAGGCAGAGGCAGGCAGATCTCTGAATTCTAGGATAGCCTGGTCTACAGAGGGAGTTACCGGCCAGCCAAGGCTACACAGAGAAACAAAGAGCTTTGTTTATGAAAGGGTGGCCACATCTGAGTATACCTTTGCTTCTGAGGTAGAGGTTAGGCCCTTTCCACAAACCATCTCTAATCAAACCAACCTCCAGCAACAGACCCCCCTGGAGATGGGAGATCTGAGCAGTCTTTTGACCTCACAATAACTTTTGGCTGCTTCCAACCCATATACTGGTCTGATGTGGATTTCCACCCAGTTTGCAATCTATAGCAACTACAGCACCCCTTACCTGTGGGGTCCCCAGCCTTTCAATCAGTGGAACAAGATGCAACGGAGCATACTTGGATTCTAGTCTTTTCATTTTGGCTTCAACTCTCTCGCCCTCTGGATTGGAAAATAATCTATTATGCTCTGTCCTTATGCACGATTAAACAATTGCAAAAGTTTAATTTTTAAAAGAAATTTTTAAAGATTCAGTTAACTCCATGGATGCAGATTCTCTTGCAAAAGAGTCTATTACAGTATACTAAAATACTTTTTTTTTTCTGGTCTTTTTGAGAAAGGGTTTCTTTGTGTAGCCTTGGCTGTCCTGGAGCTTGTTTTGTAGACCAGGCTGGCTTCGATCGAGATCCACCTGTCTCACAAATGCTGAGAATAAAGGTGTGCACCACCATTGCCAGGCATTTTATTGGAATGGAGGGGGAGGGAGATATACAATATAGTAAAATAGCTCATTTGTAGCTTTAATTCAAGTTGACAGATTAACTTTTGTAATGTAACCACTTAGAATCTACTTTCAGTTTGGACTAGTGTAACTTTTTCATGCAATTATCAGCCAACAGAATAGGGGTACATGGAAGAGGATATTTAATGAGCGGTTTTCAAAATTCACTAAAAATTCTAAGTGTGATCTAAAGCAAAACAGTACAATGGTGGAAAGGGAGCTCCCCTTTTCTGAAGAAGTGAGGGGCAGGAGGGCGGAGGGAGGGTAAACTAGGAGGGGAGGGATTGGGGCTACAACCAGGATGTAAATAAAAAAGTAAATAAATAAAAACATATATGAACCTCTTTACTCATCATCCACTGTGACAACTATCAACTTAGTGGTCATTCTTTATTAAAGTACGAGTCCTCAAGCGCAATGGGAACTCTGGTTTACGAAGCAGACTCACCTTTTACATGGACTCGTGGCAAGATGTTCTGGAAAGGGGCTGCATGCAACAGGTCACAGACTTCCTCCAAAGACTAAAACAAAGTAGAGGAAGTCATCCCAGGAAGGGGAACAGAGTGAAAAAGATTACAAAGGTCTGGTATAGAAAAGTTACACCTTTCCCATTTAGAATAAAATAAAACACTAAACAGTCCATCCACACAATTCCCTGGAATAGTAGTAATGTCCCATTGAGCTACTTCTCTGGCCCACTGGAAAAACACTCTTGAAACATCAACAGTCGTCCCCCCCCCAAAAAAAAAAATATCAGGAACCAATAAACAGCTGTGGAAAAACGATGATACTTTACAACACTTCCCATCTCATACCCTGACTAAAGAGCTCCCAAAGGGGGAAAGAAAACAAACCCTCTGTCACCAGCAGGCCCAACTAGGGTGGGCAGACCTGAACTCACCAGGCTTTGCTCGATGAGCAGGCAGAAGAGGACAGCATTCCCCACCTCCCGCAGGTTCTGGAAGCACACTGTTTTCAGCTCTGCGTACTCCACAATGTCCTTCAGCTGGTGGTGGAAGAACTCTAGGATGCCTGTGGCAGCGGAAAGAAGTTGCAGGAACAGCACTAGCACCTGTCATTCTGACACTGCCTGGTCATGGAGATTGCCACACCTTCCAGCAACAACGGTTTCTATCACCTGGCACATCCTTGACAGACCACAGGGCCTAGCCTCTGACACCCTCTCAGTCAACTCAATATGTTCAGAGACAATGACGACAGAGAATGCCACCATACTAGAAAAATAAAGTCCAGAGCAACATCTCTAGTAGCTTTTGATAAGGCATTGATAAACTCAATGTACCTCTACAAGCATAGAAAGTAGTGTGCCTAATTTGATAAAGAGTATAAAAAACCCTGCAGCTAACTTCATATTGGTGGGAAAACGTGGCATACTGGGCATCTTTGCTAATGCCTAGTCAGTGTAACATGGCACAAGGATACACAAGCCAATACGGCTAACCCAAGTCATCCACACAATGCTAATCTGGTCAAAATTGGACAGGTCACTCAGACAACCTAGTAGGCGCTCAAACTACCCTAAGAACAAAGTTGGATTTAACACACTTCAAACCATGTAACAGGCCAGCCCTGAATATTTTCTCAGGGATCCACCCTCCTGCCCACCTCCTGCCATCTCCCACTAGTGAGTACCACCATCTAGCTATGCACTGTCGAGAAGACCTTTTCATCTGGGTAATCCCTTAACAGCACAAACAAAAGCTAATGCTGTGAACTATGTGTGGCTCTGTGGTCAGCCAAGACTCATCTGACCTAATGGCTTTCCCTTCAGCACTTAATTTTCCGTCTGTAGTTTTATTACCTTCAAATTCTTTACTGCTTTCTGTCAATGAACTGAAATAGGATTCTTCTAAGCCAGTGTCACACTGATGACTACTTTCTTTACTGATGGTAGAATAGTTAAATGGCAAGCATATCTGGGTGCCCAGCCACATGAGCAGGCTGCTCATCAGGATGGCAGCATGAGTTACTCATGCAGAGGCTCAAGTACATTATCAAGACCAGAGGAGCATGAGGGGAACAATAGTGAAGCATTCCCCTATGGGGACATGGTGTGATCGCTACATTATTATGATCTAATGAATAAAGTCATCTCCTAATAATGGCATTACTTGGAGGTTAGGTAAGATGGTGCCTGGCTGGAGGAAGCAGGTCACTGGGAGGATGTCGTGGGGTGCTGTATTTTGCCATGGATCTTACATATGTCCTTTTTCTGCTTCCTGTATGCCAGAAGGCAAACAGCCTCTTCAGTATGATTCCGCTATCATGTTTTTGTTAAAACATGGAGCTAAGTGTTCATGAACAGAATCCTCTGAAACTGAGCTAAAATAAACCTCTGTTCCCCTAAGCTGCTTCTCAGACGTATTTGATCACAGTGATACAGAAGTAACTAACTGATGCCATTTTTGGAGAGAATACTTTCAGAAGGAGTTTATAAAGTGCACTCTTTTTGTTTCCCCCTGAGACAGGGTTCTCTATGTAGTTCTAGAACTCGCTGTGTAGACCAGTCTGGCATCCACTCACAGAGATCTGCCTGGCTCTGCCTCCCAAGTACAGTGATTAAAAGTGCACCACCACTGCCCAGCCACCACTGTCACTCTTAAGTGACAAAGGTTCATAGAGCAACACTGCGATCGTTATGGATATTTACTTGGATGGTCTCATACAAGCCTGCAGCAAGGCATGTAGGCTTATCCCTAGGTATACATCTAAGGACTGTGGGTGAAGTTCTTACAGTCCATGAGCCAGAAAGGGCAGAATATTTTCCAGGCCAACAAGACTATCTAATGGGTAAGAAGCCAGAGGGAAGGTACAGGGAGCCAGGCCTTGTGGCAGCTTTGAATGCTTTTTTCCATTAAGTTCTAGACAGCAATAGGACCTGGGGGTTAAGCTCCCTCTGCCTTTTTTGGTAGGTGATTCTTTTCAGGATCTAGAATAGCAATGTGTTCAACACCCCAACATCAAAACCTTTGCTAGGTGACAAGCTGGGTCCCTCAGTTCTTTAGCTGCACACAGTGACCCCAAGGTAACTTCTTGCTCCCCAATTGTAAGGTGCATTTCTTTGTTCTACTCTAAATGGGCAAACTCTGGTTTGGGCTTCTTTCCAATCTGATTCTTTTCAGCAGCTTCCAACTTGATTCCCTTCTCTTGGGAGATGCGCCCATGACAGGTACTCCAGAAACCCTGCTCACCAGGAGAGCCGTACTCATGTCGGGGAAGGCGGCAGATCTTGGGCATCACTTCCATCAGAGTTTTCACATACTGCAGGATTGTGCCTTGCAGCTGCATGAGACAGAGGCTGGGTTAGCTATCACCCCCATTCTCATAGAAGGCCCTGGTATGTGACCCACTGTCAACACCAAGGGTGCCAGCAGCAAAAGGAGCAGCAGCCCTCACAGGACAGTTTCTCCTTCCTCTGACAGCTTGGGTTGGCTTCCAGGGAAGACCACGTCAACTTTGTGTTCAACTATAACAAGTGTGCATTCCTAATTTTTTTCCATCTTTCAAGTATTTTGGGCAGATCAGTCCGTAACTTATGAGTGGTTCATAAAGTCATAGCTGTGCAAATGACATACTCTTCTACATTATAGTTAAGCATGGTGGTTTGGGTAAGAATGGTCCCCTTAGGCTCATCTATTTGAATGCTTAGTTACTAGGGAGTTGGACTATCTGAAAAAGATTAGAAGAATTAGGAGATGTGGACTTGTTGAGAGAAATGTGTTGTTGGGGGTAGGCTTTGAGTTTCCAAGCCCATACTCCATGACCTGTGTTGTTCTCTCTGCCTGCTACCTGCAGATCAGGATGTGAAGCTCTCAGCCAATTCTCCAACCCCATGCCTACCCATTTACTGCTTCACTCCCTGCCATGATAATATCGGACTAACCCTCTAAAAGTTTAAGCAAGCCCCC